TAATGCAGTACTCTCTGAGCATAGAAGACACCTTCATGAAGAGTTTTCTTATTTAGTTGCATGCTTTTATTTTTTCAACCAGCTATATATTTTGATGGATGTTCCAAACTGGTGAATGGGCATCTGTTGAGTAAAATACAACACAGTCAATATTATTCTCAATTCTTAAATATATTAATATATATTCTAAGTAAAAACTTAAATGGAATTAAAATCAGATAATAATAATGATAGATTTTTACCAGCATAAGCACATTTTGGTTTTTATAAAGGGAAAACTAGTAGCAAGATATTCAAGTGGGTTTTGTTTTTTTTTTAAAGATTTACTTATTTATTTATACAAGCACTGGGTACATTCAGAAGCGCAGGAGGGTGAGAGAATTCACCAGAGCCAGAGCAGGGAACAGAACAGGCAGACTGACGAAATACACTGCTTTGCAGCCCAGTGCTCAACTGCTGCGCCACCAGGGGAGGCCCTGAAGTGGGTTTTTGAAAGAGTTCATTTTAGAAGAAACATTTCTTATAGAAGGGATACATCACATTAGCCATTTATAATACCTTCATCAGAATTGACTATCAGCCCCTACCCTCTTCCTCTTTATCAACATGTGATAATAGGTTCAAAAATTATTTTGGTGTTGGTCTACGCTGCCAGTTGCATTGGTCCCAGCTGCCAGTGAGGGAGTGTGGTCGGAGACTATCTCCCCTAACACCGGGGCACCTTCCCCGATGAGGCCAGATCTGTGTAGTATACTACTTCTGGGGGCTTAAAGCTAGAAACAACTTGGATTCTTCCCTGGACAGAAACAAACCCTTTAAGTTATGTTAGGCAAGCAGGAGGTGATTCAAGACTGGGACAAAGGGGTTGCCTAGATGAGTGTCAGAGAGTCAAATTATCTCTGCAGACTATGCATGTGGTACAGCTGTATACCAAGGTATCACCCCACCAAATGCCATTCTTGTCTTTGAGGTGGAACTTGTAAAACTGGGATAACAGGAATGATGTCAGCTCCCAGTTTTTGGAAATGCCATGGAGGGATCTAGCATTTCCAGGTGTGCGCATGCAAATCCATGTGGTGCTTTCCTGGGGTTCCTCTATATTCTGTATAAAAATCAAAATCAACAAGCAACTATAAACCAGAGACACACTATGGGGGGGAGGGGCGGGATGGAGGGATAAGGGTCAAAATAAGGGGGTGGGAATTGTATGGGGAATAACCAAGACGAAAATGTATACATTGTGCAAAAATGAAAAATGATGTAAAAAATTTATAAAATAGGGCCTCCCTGGTGGCACAGCGGTTGAGCGCTGGGTTGCGAAGCTGCCCACAGCCTCTGCAGCGCCAGTTCGATCCCCGGCTGCTCCCCGGCCACCGGAGGAGGGTCCCGCATGGCGCGCAGACCTCTCCTGCCGCCCGCTGCTCCCCTCAGCAGTGTACCTCGGTCCTTCTGCCTGTTCTGCTCCCCGCTCTGGCTCTGGTGAATTCTCTCACCCTCCCGCGCTTCTGACTGTACCCAGTGCATGTATAAACAAAACAAAACAAATAAATAAAAAAAAAAATTTATAAAATAAAAAAGTACCCCAAATGAATATGTCCTATCATCTAGCATTGTTCTTCCACTTTCTCCTTATATGTGGGTTGACATAAAATATATGCCCTAAGCCTTAAATTACTCATTTTGGTTTTTGGATATAAGTTTGCAATTATGTATTAGTCAAGTATTAACACAAGGAATGGGTTAACTTTAGAATAGGAATTGGTGTGTGGGAGGTGAAAGACTTTTTTGGATGAAATTTTTATTATGTATTAAACATTCTTGCTGCTGTTCTGCAAAGTCATGGCAGATTTGAGGTGCTGTTGAGGGCCAAGTTGAAAGATGTGATTGGGTTGAACAAAATGTTCTATACAAAACTGAAGGTGGGTGAAGGAGGGCTCTCCCTCCATTTCCCCACCCAAACCTCCCCTTAAATCCTTTGCCTTTTAAAAGCAGATAGTTTTATTTATTTATTTATTTAATTTATACATACATACATACATACATACATACAAGCTCTAGGGTACAGTCAGAGGGGCGGGAGGGTGAAAGAATTCACCAGAGCTAGAGGGGAGAGCAGAGCAGGCAGGAGAGGTCTGCGCACCATGTGGGACCCTTGCCAGGGGCCGGGGATCGAACCAGTGCTGCAGGGGTTGTGGGCAGCCTCGCAACCCAGCGCTCAACCGCTGCGCCACCAGGGAGGCCCTAAAAGCAGATAGTTTTCACTATGATGTTGTACATTACAGTTATCTATCCTCAGGGCAGCAGTGACTTTTGAAGCTTTCTTTGTGGCTTGGCATTGCCCCCACTAATCCTGTGGTTTTTCTAATGGCTACTCAGTACTTTTGGATTCTCATAGTTATCCAAACTTCTTCTAAAAATATAAGAACTTTAATGGAATATTTAAATTGAAGATGGTGTTATAGGCCTTAACACCAATGAAACTCCAGTCATCATGGAAAATACTCGAGTGTCCTTTTATGAAAATGATGTTGGTCATGGCAGCTTCTGCATCTCTCTCTTGTTTTTTATGCTCAGCTTGCCCTGCCCATCTCAAACTGGCTTTTTCTCCACACCCTTCCCTCCCCTTTGCTGTCCTGTAATGATTTGGTGGGAGAGATTATCGTTGCCTGTCTTCCTGTCCCTACCCACTGCCCTGCATATGAGTTTCAAGTTTTATTATTTCAATAGAATGTTACAATAGACATGCTTTATGCTGGCTTTTCTAAAAGTTTTTGTTTTGGTTCCCCAAAGAACTTTGATAGATAAAAACAAAGACTGTAATCATGAATGGTTAAAACCTTAAGAAAAAAGTTAGAACCTATTTTGGGAACTTTTGTTTTTTAAAACTGGTGAAAATAGTGCATATGGACCTGTTATTTACTTGTTAATTTCAATTTTGACAGTTTTTGATTGTTACTGCTATATGACCATGTTAGCCAGTAATAGGAAAGGAATAAAAGTTAACATAGCAGTTGATATTTTTGGCAGCAAATGGAGATGATTGATGTAGAAAATGTAGCTAGAGTATACTGAGGAGAAAGAATTTTTATTTGAATATATTTGTGTGTTTAGTGTTTTCAATTGTCAGGTATTTTGTTGCTCAACAGTTGAATCAATATCTTGCAAAGTACTTACATATTAGCTTTCCATTCAGTTAAAAAAAATGAATGAAAAAAGCAAGTATTTTTCTATTAGGTCTAGACTGTAGGTTTAGACTTAAATGGTGGTCTGAGACTTATGAAGCCACTAGATCTTTATATATATATATATATATATATATATATATATATATATATATATGTTATTACACTTTCTCAAATATATAAGCTACCAATATTTTATATAAACATAAACTACGTTTTATCATTTGAGATATAGTGTCAGTTTCAAATCAATATTTTTTTATCAGTAGCAATAACAAAATGAGACTTTTTGGAGGTAGCATTTTAGAATAAACAGGCATATTTTAGAATAAACAGAATATTCTAGACCTGTATAACCAAACTAATATTAACTGGAGATAAATTGAGATGTTAGGAAATTTTTTTTAGTTACAAACACCAATTACTTTCCATATATAAAATACCAAATCTGTTAATTAAAAAAAATAGGTTTTTTGGAGCAGTTTTACATTTATAAAAATGTGAGTGGAAGGAACGGTTTCCATAAATACCCTTATTCCCCAGCATAGCTTCCCCAATTATTAACATCTTGCATCAATGAGGTACATTTTTTACAATTGATGAGTGAATATTGATGTACAATTTATCACTGATACATAATAATTATCAAAGTCCATAGTTTACATTAGGGTTCACTGTTTGTATTATACATTTTATAAGCTCAGACAAATATCTAATGACATGCATCCAGCATTAAGGTATATAGAATAGTTTTTGCTGCCTAAAATACTGTGTTCTAGCTAGTTACCCTTCCCTCCTGTCCTTGAACTGCTGGCAACCTGTTCTTAATTTTTATTTTTATTTATTTATTTATTTATTTATTTTTACCTACTGGTTTTTGTGGATGTTCTTAGTTTTTAATTACAGGAAATCATTTACTGTTAACTTCAAGTAAACTCTAGTAGCAGTTGGAAGACCTAAACTGTGGAGACCTAAACTTACCTTAACATCACCCCATTTATAGCTGATATCTATTTATGGTTATATTATATTAATGCATATCATAGAATATGTATGTTATATAAGATGGATTCAACATATAATCCATTTTATAGTTCTCTAAAGTATTATTTATTATTGTATCAATTGAAATCAAGTTTAGAAAACACAGACTAGAATATAGGGAATTGGTTAAACAAGTGATAGAAAAGCCAGAAAGCCAAAGGGAAGATGAAACAGTGGGCTGCTGTAACAAAATATCATAAATTGTGTGGCTTATAAACAATAAAAACTTATTTCTCATGGTTCTGGAATTTGGGAGGGCCACATCAAGGCTCTCATAGATTAAGATATCTCTGGTTCAGAGATAGCCTTTCTTTTACTGTGTCCTCATATGATGAAAGGGGACATAGGTCTCTCTTCGAACCTCTTTTTCAACGGCACTAATCCCATTCTTTAAGGCACTGCCTTCATTACCTAATCACCTTCCGAAGGCCCTGCCTCCTGGACATTATCATCTTGGGGGTTAGGATTTCAGAATCTGTATTTTGGGAGAATGCAAATATTCATTCTATTCATAAATAGCAAGTAAGATTAGGAAGCTGGGAGCTGCTGCAATTTCTAGGCTGTAGGACAAATGGAAGATAATGTTTCTGGAATTCAAGGGGAGGTATCACAGGCAAAAGTTGGGATCTTAGTGGACATGATGGGGGGAGCAACACTCAAAGGAGATGCAGACATTAGGACTGAGGAATGGGACAGGGAAGAAATAATCCTGATTTTTCTCTTTCTTCCCACATTCTAATTTCCTGCTAATGCCTCCTACTGGACAAATCACAGGTGGAAATCAGTAGTTGAAGGAACCTGGTGAATACAGCCTAAAAGAGTCAACCACTCTGCAACATAGAGCAGAGAAAATAAGAAGAAATGGACACCACAGCAAACAGGACGAGGACTGACATAGTGATCAATTCTTTTTGACTTTTAAAATCAACTTTATTGAGGTATAATTTACATACTTATTTAAAGTATACACAGATAATTTTTGACAAATGAATGCACCTCTATAACCAGTCAAGCTATAGAACATTTTAATCACTCCACATAATTCTCTCTTGCTCCTTTGCCATGAACCTCCACCCTACCTCAGTCCTTAGTAACAACTAATCTCTTTTTGTAGCAGTCTTGCCTGTAGTAGAATTTTATAGAAATAGAATTATATAGGATGTCTGTTTTGTGCCTAATTTTTTTCCTTCTAAGCATGTTTTTGAGATTCATCCATATTATTTTATCAGTAGTACATTTCTTCTTTTTGCTGAGAAGTATTCCATTGTATGAATACACCACAATTTGTTCATGCATTCACTTATTGATGGACATCTGGGTTATTTTCAAGTTTGAGCTATTATGAATAAAACTACTACAAACATTTATATACACAGTTTTTTGTGGTGTGTGTGTGTGTGTTTAATAGACATGTTTTCATTTCTCCTGGATAAATACCTGTGAGAGGAATTGCTGGATCATATGACAAGAAACTTCTTAGCCTTTTGAATAATGTCATTGCAATCATTGTCCATGAAAGGACATTGTGCGTTTCTTCCAAAGAGTTAAGGACTAGACGGAGAACAGTTCTTACAAGAAAAAAAAAATCTCAAAAATTTTCTAAGAAAATTTAAATACCCTTGATGCATATGCTTTTCATAGCTCAATATTTTTAATATATAGTAAGAAAGGGCAATAAGGAAGTGTAAAAGGAGAGGAACTGAAAAGGAAAGTAAAGCATTGGAAAATAATGACTAAAAAGACTTCTTGACAATGGCAAAATCATCCTACACAGCTGCTCTGAGATCCCAGCTCTGCTGTCAGCAACCTACTGGCAAAGCTCCTCTGTCAAATGGATGCAATAGGATCCATAATGATCTTTTGTGAAGGAATATCTTTATTAATCTAAGCAAACACACCTCTCATTTATAGTGATATAGAAGTGTGGGCTTTTTCTTTTACTCTTAGTAGTAATGTTTGCCCAACATATAACACTTCCCTTTGATATGTGGGTTGAGTCATAAATTAATGTCACAAATAAATGTCATCTCGATGAGGGAGGCAACTGCATTACGAAGTAAGAAGGTGTAGTTTGATATGAATTGTTACAGTTGACAGCTATGTACTCCTGAACCAAATGTCATTGTGTCAAATTCTGAGATATTAAACAGTTATTGGAATGTAAAATTGTGAGCATTTAGGACTGCTTCTCTAAAGTTTTGTCAATCTTTTCTAGATATTCTGAAATGGAAATGAACAGGGATTAAAAACAAAGACAAATGAGTTTTTTTTTTTTTTTTTTGACAAATGAGTTTTAAAGACTTCCTTGGCATCTCAGAAGTTGCTCTACACTGGTGTTTTAAACAAAATATTTGTATAAATACATTTAGCTTGTTTAGAAACAGACTTATTCATTGGGTCTTTCCATTTACCTTTGAGACAAAAAATAAGAGTTATGGGGGACGCATGTGCATTATTCATTATATACTTTCTATTATGTATTATTTAATTTCAAGCTCGGAGAAAGAATGGAACTCTATTTTACGTGATGCCATAATGTACATTAGTGAGCTCAATCCTCTTAATCTTAAAATAATAGTATCAGGTCAAAGATTTAGAATATAGTATTACATGAAAACAGTTGGTAGGTAGATTCCCTTCTTTTGCCATTAAAACAGACTAGCAATGGTTTTTCGTATCTTAAATCCGATGGGGTGGATAACTTGTGAACATGTTTTTCAAAGTAGAGAATCACTGTATTTTTGCTGAATTATATGTTGCCATGGACATGCAGTATGCAGTAATGATGCTATCATCTACACAGCTGTATAACAAAACACAACTTCTTCCTCTCCCACCCCCCTCAGTACGACTTGAAAATAATAGGTTTGTGTGTAGTTTGGTAAGAAAATTAGAATCATTTAAAGTTGTTTCGTTTTCAATCTAAGAAAGAAAGAAGAGATTTGGGAAAAGTTTCAGGGAGATTCTACATTTCTTCAAAATGTAGAATTTTCAAAAATGTAGAAAAAATACACATTATGTAATGAACAATAATATATATTATGCAGAGACTAAAAGAGGAGACTTCTTGACTTTCTGGTGAAAAATACCTGGATTTAGTCATTGTTGCATCATTTGTGACCTTGAGCAAAGTCACATTGTCTTTAAGGCTCAGTTTCCTCATCTTTAAAATGTAATTATGATGATAATGTTCTCTACCTTGAAAACAATTGGTAAACTATAAAACCCTATACAATTAAGGCTTTCTAAACATGTAGCACTGATGAATCTCCAGAGACAAAGAAGAGCAAAGGAAAAAGGGCATAGAAGCTTTGGAGTTCCACAGTCTGGGTTCTAATTCCATTCATGGCTCACAGCTTTGATGCTTCGACTTAAGATGCTTAATTGTTTCCTCTTCTTGAGAGGGGAGGATAAGGCTATTTTCTTCACAGAATCAAATGAGAAGGAATCTACCACTTGGTAGGTATTTGATGCTGTTCCTCCTTTCACCAGCTCCTGCCCAAGCCCAAAAGGAACTTCTTATTCCACGAGCGTCATCAGCAACAAAAGGTGTTCACAGGGTGGAATCTTTCAACAGATAAGAACACTGAGGGAAGGCAGGAACATACAAGGAAACTGAGGTAAATCCAATCCAGTTGGAACCAACCCCTATACTTGGAGATACCTTAAGTCACTCTTACCCACTTGAGGCTGGGTTATCCCTACTGTAAAGACATTCAGAGTTGGAGATTGGGCAAGTCGAATGTCCTTTCGACTCACAAACTCGACGGGAGGGACCCTGAAATTCCTAATTAGAGCCAGTTGCCATGGCGACAGTCTCTAGGCAGCGTGGGCTGAGCTCCTCATAGGGCTAGGGGATGGGCCGCCACTGGACCCCGCGCGCGCGCCCGCCACCAACTTTCCCTCCAGACTCGCGAGGGGCGGCGCGCTCCGCCCCCGCCCCCGCCCCCGGGCCGCGCACGTTCGCGCTCGGCGGCGCGCACGCCTGCGGGAGCCCTCTCCAGGCAACCTAGTGCTGATCGCTCCTGCCGGCGCGGCCGTTAACCGCCCTTGCGGGAGCCGGAGGCTCAAGAGCATCCCCCTCCCCTTCCAGGGCTTCTCCCCACCCCCTTCCCGGCCGGGCCTCGGGGCATGAGCAGCGATGGCCGGCTGCAGCCCTGAGGAGAAAACTTACCGGCGCTTCCTGGAGCTATTCCTGGGCGAGTTTCGCGGACCTTGCGGCGGCGGCGAGCCGGAGCCGGAGCCGGAGCCCGAACCCGAGTCGGAGCCCGAGCCTGAGCCCGAACTGGTGGCGGCAGAGGCGGCCGAGCCTTCGGGCGAGGAGCCCGGGGAGGACGCGGCCGCCGTAGCCGCGACGGAGGAGGGGGCGCAGGAGCAGGAGCAAGACCCCGAGCCCGAGGAGGAGGCGGTGGAGGAAGAGGCGGCGGCGGCGGAGGGCGAGGAGCAGGACGAGCGGGAGGCGCCCGCCGCCCCGGGGCAGCCGGCCGTGCCGCCGCAGCCGCCGCAGCCCCCGCTGCCGCCGCTGCCCCCGCTCCCGCGGCCGCTGTCGGAGCGCATCACCCGCGAGGAGGTGGAGGGCGAGAGCCTGGACCTGTGCCTGCAGCAGCTCTACAAATAGTTGAGTAGCGGGGCTCGGCTGGGGGTGGGTCCGCAGTCCCGGCCGCGCGGGCTCCGGCGCGGCGCCCGCCGCCCCGCAGCTGCGCCCTCGCGGGTCCTCGCCCGCCCCGCGCCGCGTGTGGGAAGGCGCCCCGGCCCGGACCCGGCGCCCCGGCGCCCCCGCGCCCCACGCCCGGACCCGGCGCTCGCGCGCTGCCCACGCCGGCCTGGCCCGCGCCCTCCCGCCGGGCCGGTGCCGGGGCTCCCGCCCGCCGCCCACTTCTTGCTCCACTTCACACGCCCTCTCCCCTCGCGCCTCCAGGTCCCTCCTCGCGACCCCGAGACTCCGCCGCCGCCCCAGGCCCTCGGCCCCCAGGAGGCTGCTTCCCACCCGGCTCTGGCCGTGCCCGGGCTGAGCCCCTTGTTGTGTGCGGCGGAGAGACGCGGCGCCGCTGGGCCGAACCCGGGAGAACCCTCCTGCGTAACCGCAGCGGGGACAATACTGTGGGGCCGGCCCGAAGCCTACGTGGGGAGAGGCGAGGTTCTCCCTCAGGGGCTCAATTTTGAGAGCGAAGGGCTCTTCAGAGGGCTCGGTCCGCGGGAGACCCGTGTCGTGGTTAGAGAGCGAACTCGGGGGTGGGGGGAATTGTTGGTGAGGAAGGAAGGGTAAGCATAGTTTTGCACGAGTCACAATTAAAGTGGGAAAGTCAGACTGGCTTGATAAAATTGCAATTAGGTGCAGTATCTTCAGTCCATGAAGTAGACAGGGAAAGGGAGAGAAAGCAGATGGCTTAGCTACACAGATGAAAGTCTAAAATAGAAAGGTCAGAGCTTGCCTTTTATCCCAGTTCTGGTTTTTATGGGCTTGAGATAAAAAACGGTTTATAAATGCGTTTCTTTCAAAATGGAATGACAGGAAGTACTTAAAAGTCACCGAAAACGTTGATAAACCTGGGCGCCTTTTGCCATTCTGCTAATAGTTGTAATGAAATGTACTTCTCTGAGCCCCCCCACCCCCCACCCCCAAAGTTGACTACTGCAGGATTCACTGCAATTAAGTTCAAACTCACTTCTTGAATTTTCTCAAAAGCCTAAATTAAGAGAAGGGCCTGGAACGTATTTTGTCTTCAGTCAGCCTAACAGACACCTGATCAAATCATTTTTCCAGTTAAAGCAGATGCTTGGGAAAAAGCATTTAACACGTGTTAAAAAGATTCAACATCTATTGTAGAAGTGGACCTTGTTGATGTCCCACACTTAATAAACTGTTTTAAAATTTTATTTTGAAATACTATCCAATCACCAAAGTAATGATGCTTTTAGGACAATGTAAAAAATAAGATGGCGTGTAATAAATATCACCACTCAGAGATTATCAGTATTAAATTTTGGAGTATTTCTTCCTAGTCTTTATTATAAACTATCCTAGAAAAAGCTTGCGAAATGTTATTTTTTAAACACTACATATAGTTATTTACAACTTCCTGCTTAGAAATTTTCACAGTATTAGACTACTTGTATTCTGACAGTTCTTACCTTTACAAGTAAAGTTGCAGAATTAAAGAAACATTTAAAATAGAAGAGAAGGTCCACTATAAAGAGTCATTAGAGTAACCACAAACATTTGCCATTCAAGAAGGTTCTCTAAAAAAATGAGATTCATATAAAGATGATGGCATAAATAGATGTGTTTTTCCATATGAAAGGAAAGCTAGATTTTGATATGCGTATAAACTAGTAAAAGTATTCAAATGCTAAAATGGTCATCTAATTGAGAACAGAAGTTTGGATTTGAAAAAAAAACTAACAAATTAAACATTGAAAATATTATTTCACCTTAAATCAGAAATTTTGTCATTTATACTGTTTTATTCAGTAGCTATTAACCTGGTGGTTGTTGTTGTTTTTTGAGATATAAAATGGCTGGCTTGTTTATGTAAAGTATGTTCAAGGTTCTAAAATATTTTTAAAAACCTAACAGTTAAAAAACATATCCTTTTACAGCTTTTAGTTTTTTATGTTATGTATAATAGCAAATTATGTCACTTACTTATAAGACTCAATAATGGAAGACATGACAGAGATAGATCATTTTTCTTTCCAAGCACTTTATCCTGTCGATGAGAAAACTAGGGATCCAGATTCAGAAATGACAAATTTTGGACAGATGATTTCAGTGTATCTCAATATAATCTCAATCTCAAAGCTCTCCTTGACATATTTAAAATTTTAGGTACACAAATTTCCTAGGAAATGCTTGGAAACAATTCTATTAGGAATATGTTGAAATTGCTTATTTGGGAATGGTGGGGATTTTTTTTTATTCAAAATATGTTCTCAAATACTCACCCACTCTGTTTATTTTGGGAATTCTTAATATTCTTCAAAAACATTGTCATGCTTGTCTAATGATGCTAGCATTTTAAAATCAAGTTACCTGGGCTTTATAAAGTCATTTATTTTATAGTTGTGAAAGTGTATGGAGAAAATAATGCTGCCTTTAATACTAGTATTATAAGTCTAGAGTGTTTTTTCTGTCAGTATTTTAGAAATGTACACACTGTGGCTGCTAAATAGGCTGAGGTTCTCTGAAGAAAAAGGTGTTTCTCACTACTGTTTTATGTATACAGTGGGTTCAAATTTTACAATATAGTGAATATTTTTCTCACTCAATATTTTTGTCAATATTTTGCTTCTATCAAAAGAATTTGAAAATAGAAACAGTAGTTGTGTTTTCATTCTTCCATTTGGAAAACTCAGAGCTCAGGACTAGCCACAGATAAACAGTTATATAGACAAAGGATCAAGGTTTAAATAAATAAAATATAGGTATAATTAGCATCTTAAGACCTTTTCAGATCAAGTTTTTCCTTTTAGGTATTGTATACTTAGGTATTGCTTTAATAAATAAAAACAACATGTAACATTTTTAGAGAACAATGATAACAACTTGAGAAATGGCAAAAATTCCCTTGATGAGAACTCTCTTGTGGGCTATAAATTCTTTTTTAAAGGAGCACTTAAACATTTTTGTCTCAATTTATTAAACCTTAAGAATCAATAATAAATTCATGCAATACTGTAAAACTGCTTTACTGAATTAGTCTGTTGTCAATAAAAATTCTAATATTTGGAACCTTCAATTGCTAGTACCGTAAGCATCTATTTTACTCCCCTTTTCTAAAGTTAAATGTCCTTCAAGAGATTAAAATGTTTTCTAATAAAGTTAAGATTTCTGATTTTAGTAAGTTTTTGAAAAGGTAAAGGTGAGATAATTTTTAGCTTTGCAATAATTCAAAAATAAAAAATTTTAACTGGTATAATAGCAGATGTGAATGTAAGACTACTTATATAGGTTACATAGATCAATAGTGTGTGTCTTATTTCTCTGTTCTATACTAAGGATAAAATTTATTTACAAAAGAAACAAATACTTTGAAGTCTTTACTAGTACTATATGTCATTACACTTTTAAAGTGTTTTTCTCATACATTTTTAGAGTGTTTTTCTCATTCATTCATTTAGTCCAGGTTCAGCTTTCTAAGGGTGAGACAAATATCCCAGCAGCTGGCAAAGTTGAGACAGTCCAGAAGGTGTACAGTAGTAATGAGTGTAATGGATACTTTGAAAATGGCTTGGAAAAGAAACTCATTGTTTATAGATGCTAATACTACAATTATATTAATTAGGTGAATCATTAATGACTTTGAGAAAGGTGAGAAGACAAACTTTCTCACTTTTCTATAGTGTATATGTGAAAAAAATACATGAATGCAAATTATATAATTTCACTCAATTAAAATTACATCTTTTCTCTTACTAAAATGTAACAAATGTTTATTACAAGAAGTGGAGAAATATCATGTTAGTAAAAAAGAAGAAAATAAATACCAATCATTCAGTGTTAACCTTACTTTTCAGGTTTTTTTCCTGCCTCTCAGGCTGCCATTTCTTTCGTGTGAGCTTTGTCCATCCATTTACTGTTGGTGTTTGGTCCTTGACTTTTTCAAGTCTGGTTAACTTATTTGTCTTTGGTAAAGGCTGATCTCTGCCATGATTTTGGTTACTGTTCTTAGACTGATTGCTCCCAACTCTGTCTTCATTCCTACTTTGACTGCTAGGGGAACAAAGAACTCTACTCAGACTTCTAGGACTTCTGAAATCAAACTGTCCAAAATAGAATTCAATTTTTCAACTCCTTCTTCCCCCAAATAAACAAAACTAAAACTTGATTCCATTTGGCGGGTTCTTCCTGATCTTACCTCCTCTTTTGTGTGTATGCGTGTAAAGAATACAGAAGTATTTTTATTTTTTCATGTAGTCATATAAAACACAAATGCTGACTTGACATATTCACATATAACCTTTTCTCTCACACTGATGACTCAACAGATTGGGGAATCCAGAGGAACTGCTATAATCACTCTGTGGAGCATACTGTATTAGTATTCGAAAAGTTTATTCCAGCTCATTCCTTTTTTACTGCTCTAAAACATCGTGATTGTGTTGTTTGTTGAGAAAGAGTCATAGATAGGAGGAGGTACTCAAGGTCACTTCCAACTTTCAGCCAGTTGGGTTTGTGTGTGGTGGCTCTGGCACTTATATATATATTTTTTTAAGATTTATTTATTTATACAAGAACTAAGGTAAAGATCAGAGGCGCGGGAGGGTGAGAGAATTCACCAGAGAGAGCGGGGAGCAGACTGAAGACACTGTTGAGGGGAGCAGCGGGCGAGGCAGGAGAGGTCTGCCATGCCATGTGGGTTTCTCCCTGGCTGGCTGGGAATCGAACCCGCGCTGCAGAGGCTGCAGACAGCTTAACAGTGCAGCGCTTAACCTGCTGCACCACCGGGGAGGCCCTGGCACGTATAAGTTTGACCACACTTGGAAGCGCTCTGGAGCTGGGTGTGGGGGGATTGGGGGGTTCCAGGGTCAGCAGCCAGGAGTAGGGGCGCTACCACTCAGATGGCACCATCTTGCCAGACTGATTTACTGCCTCTTGTCCCTTACATTTAGCCAAC